TTTGATGTCCTTTACTATTACTTTTAGTTGGGGGAATAGTCATATCCCTTTTGTGACTTTACATCCTTTCTCTGATAATCAGTGTCTGTGAACTTTTCATATGCTAATTATTTATTTAAACATTTTTAAGTGTTTTGATAGCCTGACTTTATTTTTAAGATTAAAATAAATGTCAAAATAATCCATTCCTGTTTTCTGTAAAACTTAGGTTTGACCAGTCTTGACCCATTTTCTGGAATTTGACATGTTCCACACCCTATACACTGACTTCCACTCTGATAAAATGTTCTGCCAAACAAATCTTGAGATGTTTTTCCAAGTTTCTAAGTAACCAAAATACTCCAGGAAACCCCCAAACCCTTGAAAAACTCCCTAGTCTTGCTATTTTGGGGGCTATATAAACCCCACCTTCTCCTGTGTTCAATGCTATTTTCTCAAACCCTGCTGTAGGGAGATAGCCCAATTTGATAGAAAATGGAATTTGCATAATTTGGCCAAAGAATTTGGGTAATGGTTTTTATTCTTGTTTAGTGGGATTAAAAATTTGTTCATGTTTTTACATTTTTTTCTATTTATTTTTCAGCATTCAGGAGGTAGAGGCATGTGAATCTCTGAGTTTGAGGCAAGCCTGATTTACAGATTGAGTTTCAGGACAGCTAGGGACATACAGAGAAACCCTGTCTTGGGGGAGGGGGGAGAGAAAAAAAAGATTAGTTATTCCTGGATGAAATTTTACATCAGATATCAAGTCAGTAAATGATTTTGCTCAATAAGTTTACTGGCTGGAGAGATGATTCAGTGGTTAAGAGCACATATTGCTCTTGCAGAGGACGTGAATTTAGTTCCCTGAACCCACAATGGGCAGCACACAATGACTTGCAACTCTAGCTCTCAGAGGGAACTAAGGCTTCATGTGTACATACCCACCCACACATACATATAATTAAAAAGAAAGGAAAATTTTTTAAAAAACTTTTTTCCCATACAGAAAGACTTTATTAAAGGTTTTTACATTGAATGAACACAATATTTTGAAATGTTTGATAAATGTAGAGAACCATTAAAGATAACATAAATGAGAATTTTCAAGGGAATAGCGTCAAGCAATATCTAAGTCATCATGCCAAAAGGACAACAGCAATGGTACACACGATGGTTCCACTGTTTTGCACTTTGCTACCGTGCTCACATAAGTTGTCTGACTTGAGTTTCTCCCTTTGTCTAGCATGGTGAATACAGTGGGAAGGGTAGGGAGGTGGAGGCAGCTGGCAATGCCATGAGTCTCAGCATAGGATACAGGGCATCACTCTCTCTTCTAGAATGGTGAGGAGAAAAGGAATCCCAACTGTGTCATTCAAACCCAAGATACAAGGTCTGTGAAAAATCTCCCCAGGACCATTACACTTTGGCTGAGGTTGCACTCCTGGAATTTTTAGCTTTGTGTGTGTGTGTGTGTGTGTGTGTGTGTGTGTGTGTGTGTCTGTCTGTCTGTCTGTCTGTTGGATTGTGAAAATGTATCTTTTCAGGGATATACTTTCTATGCCACAACAGAAAGGGTAAGTATAAAACCAGGCTAATGGAATTAACCCTCTTGCAGGAGGGAATCTCTCAAGCAGATTGGGTCGAGGACAGAATGGGGAACCTTCCTGAACAGTGAGTGTGACAGGCAATAAGAGAGCTGCAGATTTACAACTCCTGAATTTACTGCTCCTAACCCTAGGCCACTGTGACATTATTTATTCTTATAACACCTTCGTTTTGACTTTCTTCAGGAAGTCAAATGAACCTGATGTACACAAATGGCATATCCCTCAAATTTAGATATTTTTAAATATAAATATTTAAAACTTGTATAAGTAAATGAAAGTACTTCATTTCTGTACTATGTACTTAGATACACAAGGAATCCTAAATAGCAGTGTGAGGTCTACACAGCAATCATACTTTTTTTCTCTTGTCTTATTACCACAGAGAACAGGAACTTGAGACATACAATCTACTTAACTGCCACACTGACTCCAATAAAAGCTGGCTTTTCTGTCAGTGTCTTTCGAAACTCTCCATGTTTAAGAATGCTCCATGAGAGCCTTTGTTTTCATTTTTTATTATGTGTGTGTACATATGGGCAGGGGGGCATATATGTAAGGAACCGACAACTCTTTGAGTTGGATCTCTAGTAAAACCTTTCCATGGTTGGTTCCTCAGCTTACCAAGCTTGTGTGACTAGCACACTTGTATGTGGAACCGTCTCACCAGCCCAAAACTTGGTTTTAGTAGGCAGGCAAAAGAACTTAATCTCCTGCTACTGGGAGACTGGACAGGAGTGTAGATAGGAATGTGGTGTAGATAGATTATAGCCTCGGTCAGGGCCAGGAAAAGGACCTGGAAAGGAAGGCAGGGTCACATATACGAAGGATCCTGACTGAAAGCCCTGATTCAGGGAACACAACTGTGCCTGTCATCCTTCACTGAATCAGTTATACTTGCCATGAACAATGACGTGTATGTAAAACAAACAAAAACCAAAACAAAAATAAACCTCTAGGTTGGTAAGCATAGGTTTTTAGAATGCTACTGAACATAAAGGAAATACCTGGCATAGCAAATCAATAATCAAATAAACACATCTTAGTGATAGTCCCAGCACCCATCTGTGCTGCTATGCAAAATGAACTCATGAACACTCTTAGCTTTTCAAAACTCTAGGCTTTTGGCTTCTTTAATGACTCATTAGTGAGGATTTTCACAATGTCTGCCTCCAGTGATCGTCCCTGCTGCAGAGGTAAATGTGATAGCACAGGAGTTAGAGAGAACGAGGTTCATTTATTGTAACACCACTATGAACCTACAGCACTGAGCCAAAACAGGATAGAAACATTGAACACACCAAGGGATGTGTGTACGATCCCAGATTGAAGTTCAAGAAAGGGAGGATGGAAGTATCCATGGAGACTACTTAGGAACTTTTATATAGACACAAAAAAATTATCTCAAGGTGACACTAATGACCAAAAGGCAGAGGAAAATATAACTTCATGTTTATTACTAGGAATTCTAAATTAAGAGCATTTTCAGACTTTCTGATTAGTGCTGCCTCAATCCACTGACTTTGGAGAAACAAAATGGGCTTTAAGGAAATATAATGACTCTACATTAACAGATTATACAGTTTGAACAAAATAGACACATTCCCTAATACGTACAACCTGACCAGACTAAATCATAAACAACTAGAAAATATGAGTAAATCAATAGGAAGTAAAGAAACTGAGTTAATATTCAAGACAGATGGTTTAAAAGTACAGACCCAGGTCAAACATAGCAATGTGTTCTTTTAACACAGGGTATTTCTTGTGACACTGACCTACACATCCTCATACGAAGAAAACACAGATGGAAAGTCTGCCATGCTGACAACTGTGCCCATGAAGAGAATGGGTTCCAAATGGTCATTTTTTTTCCCCATTCAGATGATGCTTCTATCTCCCAAAGAACAGCTCTGGGGCAGGAAGGAACAGCACTTCATTTCAAGCTGGACTACTCATCTACCAAAATACCAGTCTGACCATCGAAACAGATGCAGAATTACAGTCACAGCTGCATTCTGCATACAACAAGTTGGATAATGGTACTCTAATTGCTAATTACACCTTTAATGATGTTTTTAGTGCCAATGCAGTATTTTGCCATCTTTGTATAAAATTTTTTTGAAAAGCACTCAGGAAGGTTTTCAAACGATGATATTCTATTTTGTTAAAACCAACAAGTCTTCCAAAAAGAGTCCCCTGTCCTCCCCCACAAGACAGGGTTTCTCTTTGTAGCCCTGGTTGTCCTGGAACTCCCTTTGTAGAGCCAACTGGCTTCAAACTCAAGAGACCCACCTGTCCCTGCTGCCCTAGTGCTGGAATTAAAAGTGTGTACCACCATTTCTTGAAATGGCAGTCTCATGGGATTTTGTAAGAGCCCATTTATTAACTAGCAATTTTCTTTAATTTACTTCCTTACCAATTATTTACATTTAACATTAGAGAAATCATAAGTATGTCAGTTAGCGTTTGTATCTAAATCCATAGTTGGCATGGAAAAGTTATTAGCTAATGTGCTAAGATGTTGTCACTGGGAATATTCTATAACTAGATTCACAAAATAATACCAACAGTATAATTTTATTTTTATTGTGATTACCATGGTAAATTTTATTATACTGTTGTACTGTCATTTACTGTATGTCAGCACAGCTGAGGCAAATTATTACTTTTTGATATGACAATGCCACTAACATTTTGATATTACTTTAGTAGGTTACAATATATAGATTAAATACTACTATTGTTTCATGTCTCTTTTATATTAAAAACATGTATTGTTATATACTAGAATTATATCTCTAGAGAGAAGTGATAAACTTCTATAAACTAATTCCTACTACATTATTTTCATAAAGGTTACTAAATAATTTGCTTCTTACATGTCTATCTCAAACTGACCAGAAATTTTGGAATGCCAGACTAGAAAAAAATAATTTATATGCAGACAACATTGTATTAATGACAAGCATGCCATTGTTTTTTGTTTTGTTTTGTTTTTTGAGACAAAGTTTCTCTGTATTGTTTTGGAGGCTGTCCTGGAACTCGCTCTGTAGACCAGGCTGACCTCGAACTCACATAGATCCACTTGCCTCTGCCTCCCAAGTGCTGAGATTAAAGGCATGCACCACCAATGCCCAGCGTGTGCCTTGTTTTTGATAAATGTTATACTTAGCAGGGTAAAGCAATAAGCAAAAGTTAAAAACTCAATCACAACCATGCAATCATAATGCTTACTCTCTCTCATTCTTCCCCTACCAGCCCCTATCCTACTCCCTCTCCTGTAACCCAGGTGACTATGTAGCTGAGGATGATCTTGAACTCAGGATACTCGTGCTTCCACCTAACATGGACTAGGCTTATAGGCATGTGCTACCACTAGGCTGCAATCACAATTCAAAAACTAATACTTACTTTTTCTTCAAACTCATCATCGAATTTCAGTGATCTTCTAAGTCTGCAAACAAAATATTTAAAGAAAATTTACATTTGGTAATGCTTTATTTTAGGCTGATATTTTAGGATAAAATAAAAATATTTGAGTTATTTTTAACCAACTAATTTTTATGTTGCTTGTTAAAGCTAAAAGCCAATGAAAAAATTAATTATAATGACATATTTGGACTTAATGTTTTTATTTGATCAGTTTATTTCTAGTAGCATATTTTAATATGGGATCATAATTAAGCATTTAAATGGACTACTCCTTCTTCTATCTATATCGATATATCTATCTTATATACAAATGCTAATACAAAATTTAAACATTAGTTTTATTCTTTTTTGGTGGTGGTACTGGGTATTAAAACCAGGTTTTGTGCTTGCTAGGTAAGATCCTACCACTGAGCTATATCCCCAGACTAGTTTTTATTATTGAAAATTTTTAGTTAAAAAGTTCAGTTGTCTGTATAAAAATATCATGAGGAAAAATTATACATAACAGCAAAATAATCTAAATATCTTGATAAAGACACCAAAAATCTACTATTTCCAGGAACAGAATGCTAAATGGTAGAGGTATTTGTAAGGCAAAGTTTTGCACATTATCCTAGTGTTGGACATGATTCAGAGCAAGCAGACTAAGACTTAACAGGGGAACAGATGCCCCATGTCTTTATAAGTCCCCAACCCATAAGAAACTATTTTTTGTTTCCTCCACTACACTGATTCAGGAGCGTGCCAGGCTCTCTGTGTGTAAAATCTGTTCTGCTAAATGGGATGCCCAGCTGTTGGTGACAATGCTTAGAAAGGAAAGTTGAATATTTATAATACTTTATTCCGTACAGCTGCCTTCTAAAGAGCAGTCATCAAGATTTTATTGATTGCAGACTGAAAGCTCAACGGAGAAAAAGGTCAATATAAATTAAAACTTGTTTTCCAAATGCAGTATTAAAAGTACTTCTTGACCCGAGACAGAAATTACCCCAAGTATTAGCAAATTAGAGCATTCTGTAAGATTTATATTGTTTTACAGAACCCCTCCTAAAATATGGATCCTAGAAAATTACTAGCACATTTTTCTGTTTTCAAATGCTGTGACATTAGCTTTTTTTTTTTTTTTTTTAACGAGACAGGGTTTCTCTGTATTGTTTTGGAGGCTGTCGGTCCAGCCCAGCCTCGAACTCACAGAGATCCGCCTGCCTCTGCCTCTTGAGAGCTGGGATTAAAGGCATGTGCCACCACCGCCCGGCTGACATTAGCTTTTATAAGAATATAAAACTCGCCCTGATACTGCTCAAAATATTATTGCTGTATTATCATTTGCTAATTCTTAGAAAAAGTAAGTCTGTGTTCAGATTAGATAAAAAGTGGACGGATGAAGCCAAGGAAATGTTAAACTTTCAAGAAAGTGAGTAGAATTATAATAGGCTATAATCTATTTTGTTTAGAACCTAAAGATGGGATTTACTGAAGGTAACAGAGTAGTGAGTAAATTGGTAATACATATCCTAAGAAGATTTAATAGGCAACAGGAGAAGACATTTGAGAAATGACTTAGTTCAGTCTATAGGGAAGTTTGTGCAACTTGCTCAATGTAACATGTTTTCAGAGAGGGAATCTCAGCTCTATGATAATGCATTGATAAAAACATCTCTCCCATGCTAAGACACTGGAATCTTTTCTAGATTTCATAGCTAGAGCTAGTAACACATCTTGAGGACTGTTATCCTATTGTGTACTCTGTTTGTTTACTTGCCAATGTCTTGGATTTTCCATGTAATCAACTTTACAACAAAGCTAATGCATAATTGTAATCTTAAACTGTGTACTCTTCCATGCCCCTAACCCAGAGTAATGCATATGTGTTCTGATAATCATTTTCTGGAAACAGCACATAGGCTGAAAGCAGTCTTACGAATGTTGAATTCAAAATTTGGATACTGCTTAACAAACAATGATACCTGCAATACTGTTTGTTATCTGGGTCAGTTAGGGTCAGTTGAAGTCAGTGACTTAAATTCCTTGTGAAACTGCTAAAGACTTGTGTAAAATATCCCCCATTCCTTCCCCCATGTGATACTTTTTCTGCTGCTCAATAAATACAAAACAAAGACTTCTGCTAGGAACAGACACAGAATCATAAGACAGACTTCAGAAAGGCACAGATTCAGACTCTTAGACAGACGAGAAGGACAGAAGACATTGGGAGGGTGAAGTGGAGAACTCGAATCTGGGTTTATTATTGGATAGGTGACATGAAAAAAAGTGCTTTGATTTCTTTCCTTAATGTGACACTGACACATTATTGGTGTCTCAGAGTTTATTATTAATGCATTCAAACTAATCACATAGGTCTTGAATTGAAGGAGAGAAAAAATTATAGATCACTTTAAAAAGAACAAACTTACTAGAAGAATTTATGATAATTTATCCTTACCTTTCAATCAGAATTGGGCACAGTTATAAATTATTTAATTAAGTATCTACTGCTTACACAGGTATTCCTTTATCCATGAACAACTGATATAAGAGGATGAAATGATGCTAAATGGATTCCTCTTGACCAGGAACAAAGCAGAAATAGATGAAACTAATAAGGAAGATCAGGTAAGGCTTGGCTAGACAAAAGGATCTTTCTTGAAATTCTAAAGTTGTTACTGGCTCTTAAGGCTACTATCTTATTTAAAAAGTAAATAAATAAACAAAACAGCAGCAGCAACAACAAAAACCTCATGCAAACAATTAGGATGATTTATGCCTGTAACTGCAACATTCAGGAGGTTGTGGCAGGAGGATCCAGGGTTTAAGGCCAGGCTGGGCTACATAGCAAGAAATTGTTGCAAAAGAAAGCAAGGAGAATTCTAAAAAAAAAAAAAAACTGGGCAAAGGATTTGAATACACATTTTTCCAAAGATATAAAAATAGCCAACAGGCATGTGAAAATAAGGTCAATAGTCACTAGGGAATCCACATCAGAACTAGGAGATTCTACATGTTACTAAATATTGCTAGTACGATGGCATTATAGGAAAACAAAATACAAAATAAGCAGTATGGCAAGGATGTAGAAAAATAAGAACCCTTACACACTGATGATGAGAGTGCATAAAACAATACTCATGGCAGCGTTGTTACAATGGCAAAATGGCAGACGCTGCCTAAGTGGCTGGTGGCAGGTGAATTTAATACACAAAATGTAGTATGTACATATGTGGATATTAGTCAGCTTAAAAAGTGAAATTTGAGGGCACTGGTGGCACCCGCATTTAATCCCAGCACTTGGGAGGCAGAGGCAGGTGGATATCTGTGAGTTCAAGGCCAGCCTGGTCTACAGACCAAGTTCCAGGACAGGCTCCAAAACAATACAGAAAAACCCTGTCTAGAAACTTACCCTCCCCCCCAAAAATGTGAAATTTTATTCAGGCCTGACTACATTGTATTGGATAATCAATTAGGGAGTGCATCTCTGAGAGAGACTAATTCTCTCTCAGTGATCATTAGGTGCCTGTAGTAAACCACACTAAACAGACTCAGCAGTTGTATTTACATGTACATGTTTGTGTAGCAATAATGACCAAAGAAAAACAGGCCACTAATTTGAAAGTGAAGGGGGACATTGGAAGGCTTGGGGGATAGTGGTATAATTAATTAATTTTAATTAAAATATTAATAAATAAAAACAACAAAGACATTTGACTTTTATTACAATATAGATGAACCCTGAAGACATTGCCCCATGTAAAATAAGCCAATTACAAAAGCATATACTGTGAAGATTTTATTCATATGACAGTAGTCAAATTTAGAGACATGATAATAAAATGGTGACTACTGTGGGCTAGCGGCAGGAAGGAATGGGAAATTATTGTTTAGTTAGAGTATGGTTTGAGTCTCACAAGATGAAAACAGTCTAAAGATAGAATGTGGTAATGGTTAAACAACAGTATGGATGCATTTCCACTTAAGGGTAAACTTATAATTGCAGGTGACTTCTCATTTTCCATTTCCTCAAATTTCCACCTACTCCCATAGTTGACTATCACATCCCATTTTTAGTTGTACTAGGTTTAGATTCTCCGTGTGATGGTTAGCTTTAACCGCCAGCCTGACTGGATTGAGAGGTACCTAGGCAATCAGTAAAGCACACCCCTGGGCTTCAATGAAGGCATTCTTAGAATACACCTTGAACGTGGGAGGCACCAATTCCTAGATTGGGGATGCCTATGGGACAAAAAGTACAAAGGAAAGCTGCACACACAGGTGTTTTCTCTTTGCTTCCTGGCTGCTATGATGTGAGTTACTCTCCACTATGCCTCAGTGCCATGATGGACTGATAGGATTAAAACTGTGAGCCAAAATGGTGTTTCCTTCCTGAAGCTGTTTTGTTCTGCTAACATAACTGGGTTCAAAACTACAGTTGCTACTACAATTAATGCTGTTATGATTTCATAAGAACAAATATATTTGGTGTGCAGTTTTCAGTAGGTAGGATTATATAATATTCTTTATGAATGGGTCACTCTTTTATTTAGTCTAACACATGATATAGTATCCTTAAATAGGATTTATGCTTCATCATAGCAAAATGAATAGGTAAGTTTTACCATATAAGTGTTACTAACATCAGATATAATACTAAATAAGTGGTTCTAAGTGGAGAAAGCTATCACTCATTCTTAGCCAGGAAGGAATGAGACCATGGTAGCTCACAAAAGTATATAATGAAATTCTTTTCTTATAGAGCTTTAAAAATGTTAAATATGGTTTTGAATGGTAGGGTCCAATGCAGTAGTTGAGGATGAAGAGTAAACTTAGGAAAGCAGATAAGACTGGGGGGGATCTCTCATGCTATACCAAATACCTCCCCAAGGTTGGGCAAACCATATAATTGCAATAAGCGTCATAAACTTGGTAATACTGGCCTGTAAAATGTAAGAATTTCTGGGTGGAAGACAAAAATATCATTTAGTATTTCAGTGTTTCCATTACTCTTAGTATAATGGACATAATAGTGCT